AACTCCTTTCCAGTAACCTCATTAAGTCAATGTAGTAATGCCGTGAGAGGGAAAACACACCCAGTAACATATTTTTGAAACCCACAGTTTGCATTTGCATAGATCTTTATGTAAACTGAAAATGTTCAAATCATTAGTAAGTTATTATTATTATTGCCTTGGGTGGAACATAGGGCTTCGACAACACACCTCCACTTTGTTCTATTTTCTGCAGTCCTCTTCAGCTGGGTCCACGATTGCCCAAACTCTCTCATCTCTTCCTCACACGATCTCCTCCATGTCACGTTATCACTGATGACCCACTCGTCGCTTCCTATTTGTATTCCACTCGAGCGATGGCCTGCATTGTACGCGATGTCATTCGACGGTTTCCTTAATGGATGCCTGATCCATCTCCATTTTCTCCCCCATATTTGTTGAGAGATAAGCTCTTGGTTGGTTTTTTCCTAGCCAGAGTTTCTTGTTGCTTATTCTTTCTGGCCAGCCATTTGATCTTCCATATGGAGCTAGAGAAGGCAGCTGTTGATTAAATTCTGCAGCCACCTGTTAGATATCCTTTTCGTTACACGCTAGCTAAATTTCTGACCCGTATAGAAGGGCCGACTTGACATTAGTGTTGAAAGTTAGTGTTAAATTACATTTACTCCAGTGAGAAATCACTCAAAATAAAATATCACTCAATGAAAATGGCTATAAATCAAGTCTGTTAACCACTTAACTATGATTTTCATTTTGTCCCAATAGACAATAATGCACGCAAGTGAAAAACTAGAGTGAATATCATCTACAGTATAAATAAAAGGTTTCTTTTACCTATGTGGAACATGCTAATCCGTAAATTCTTTTTTCATCATTCAACAAATGAAGTATTAAAACACTTTTATTTAGCTAATGTAATGACGCAAAGACTAAATAAATGTAAAAGAAAGTGTCTCTTTTATTTTCCAATCCATCTTTTGTCTGTATAACTAAATAAAATTCAGTTTATTTCACTTCGATGGTATTAAAAGTAATCATGTGAAATATGACAGTGATAGTCACCGAATTAGTTTCTAATGTGTCTTAAGTTGCAGTGAATAACATTCATCTGTAAACCTTTTTGAAAGGAAACTATCTGCATAAAAGCTTCAAACAATAACCGATACTTTTGAATTAATTGATAAAGTGAGACTTTCTCCCAACTTCATATTTTAATAAATGATCTCAAAAACAAATAGATAGACCACGTTAATCACTTCTTAGTTCAGAATCTTCATAAGTTAGTTCGAATGCAGCTTAGAAATGAATATCATGTAGATTCTTTGGCTACATAGTTGATTAACTCTGTGTGGTTTTATTTAGCAGCTGGTGACAGTTAGCTATTAATCGTCAATTTTACTTCTGAATATTGTCCATTTCATCCTAAGTTCATGTACATCCCGATGGTTAGCTTTGCTCTACTGCCTTTTCTCTCTTCTTGCTTTCTGAATGAAATATACGGCTTCAAGCTTCGAAGTTTCAGTAGCGTAGTCGTTGTTTATCGCGGGAGGTGTCATGCACAACCTTACCACTTTTTCTGGTATAATGCTGACTAGGCTACGTTCAGAAGATTGTCACCAAGGAATGAAATCCTGACCTCAGCGTGGATAAGGAGTATCCTATCATTTATGTAATTCCATTATGGGTAAATTTTGTTTTGATAAAGTCTCACAGTGTTATACAGTAATGTTTACTGATGACGTTTCGAGCACAATTTATTGCTTATAATCATATCAAGGTTAGATTACTTTTTAGGTGGTAGGTGGAGAGAGAGGTTGATTACTGAATCCTTGTTCATCGAATCTACACCCAACACATGCAATAGGAATGATTCATCACTCATACCCGAAATATGGAAAATATTACTACCAATCAAATCAAGTGAATATCAAGTGAAAAACAACGGAACTATATAAATGAATTTAGGAAGTCGTGTGATTACCTTGATAAGATTATGAGCAATAAATTGTGCTCGAAACGTCATCAGTAAACATTACTGTATAACACTGTGAGACTTTATCAAAACAAAATTTACCCATAATGGAATTACACTCTACCACAGTGCACAAATTTTATTCTTATATCATTTATGTAATTAATTATATTTTTGTACTTATTTATAAATCAATTATGACAACCGTTATCAAACTGCAGAGGCAGTTTCAAAATATATGTATAATTCATTTCTTCACACTACTTAAAATCTACAGCGCAGTCCAAAGAACCAAGAAAAAACCCGCTAGTAGGACTGAACAATTTTAGTTTGTAATTCTGTAATTACTTCATAATAAGACGATAAGGCGAACAATCTTATCACTGACTACCGTAAATTTCTGAGAATTCTCTAATCATCAAGGATTTGTTTCTTGATCATTTGTGTAACAATATACACAGTTTCTTCCACCATGTGGGACTGTATTTTTCACTAAGCTCAAAACCTGATCTATTCAATCACGTCATTCATCAAAAATGAGAATAATTTCGTAAAGTCAATTTCTTTTAGAAAGTCATTTGTCTGCTATTCCATTCATGCTGGTTAGCAGTGGAAGCAAGGTCATACTAAATGGATGTGCATCTGCACTACAGTGAGTGATGGTGTCATTTGACTGCAATCACTCGACATTTGGAGGAACTTTTGTTCAAACTCGCTACTGAAATGTTATGTTAGAAAACAATGAAACGGTAGAGCAGGTCATTTAGTAGTGTCACCTGACTTGAGAAGCTTTTTCTATTTATTATGAATTTTACGAACATATCACTCGAAGCACTCAAATTCCTCAGTAACTAACTTGTTTTGTTTGATAGAATTATACTGAATAAGTAATGTGTACAAGCCTATTTAGTTGATTTGGGTAAATCAACTAAGTTGGGGGATTTACTGGTATCAGCAATGCTGATACATACAAATTAATTTGGTAGACAAGATAAAATGACTGATCTTTCCTATTTCACCGGTTTAATAGTACATAAGCTACAAATTATCTATTACCTCTGTTATTTGGTTTAGTAGTGCGTCGGTGGCATAGCGGTTAGGAGGCTTGCCTACCATGCACATGGTCCGAGGTTCGATCCCCGGCCGACGCACTCCTTTACCTCACTAAGCCAGAAATAATGATGGTAAAGAGGAAAGGTTGGGCATGGGGCTAGTAAACCCATCCTGTAAAAATAAACACTGCTACCGAAACTTCAAAGCTGTAGCTTGAAGCCCTATGTTCCACTGGGAACGCAAAAGGAATAAAAGAAAAAAGAAATTGTTATTTTGACATTCAATATGTCCTTTTAACTTCACTTAAGTCTATTTTCTCACCTCTTAACTCTTTTTATACATATATATATATAAATATGCTGAGATTTTGTTAATTCTGGTTTAATAATACTTTGATAAAGCTATTAGCATTAAATAGCGAAACGTCAGTAAAAACAATACCGTTTTGTTTTTCATACACTGGGAAATACAAGAAAACCTTTATTATAATGAATATATAGCAATACAGTTTTACATTTTCCTTAATTTGAGGAAGAATCTATTTCCAGTTTATCTGGATATTGGTAGCTAGCAGTAGAATCAAGGATACCCGATTCGTCCCATTTGGGACTCGTTAGCTGGATATAACTGCATCCTCAGTGAGTGACAGTGTTTCCATGGAGACTCGGTTTTAGCATCTATCGTTTTAAACGTCAAAGCGCTAGCCACTAGGCTACTGGGTCACGACAACCACCTCTTGTACAACAAGTACTAGTTATTATTTGTTTAAGCCATTAATGCACTTCCCGTTCATAAAGTTTAGCATACCGAAACTAGTGGTCTGTGTTGACATGATGCTTTGACGATATCTGAAGATTAACATTATGTTGTTTGGATGATAGTATCTGTCATCTGGATCCGAGATTCGCATTTTAAAAATGACTTTACTGCGGTTACAAATCATGCAGACTAAGACTATAGAATCAAACAAATATGCAGTGTACACTACATTATTTTGACTATTTATCGGCAAGATATTGGCTTGTTAAGGAAGTCTTAAGGTAGATTCTAACACCACTGACACAAGATAGGGAGACAATAAGAACCAGGGGTTACTAATGAACTGTTTTGTCCTGATATGTGACTCCTCAGTAGTGTACATGTACGATCCTATGAGATAAACAGATTTAACATTTTATTCATAAGCTTGAAAATAAGTTTCTTCTCAGAGTCTTATTATTCAAAAATATTGTCGCCTTCGCTTTTACTATATGCATACTTATGTTCAAGGTAAAGGGAAATTTTCGCAAAATATTCGGCAAAAATAGTACCATGTTCATAGCGACGTGTTATGAATTCACGCATAATTCATCTTCACATGAGCATGGAAAAAGTTACCATGTAAGATTCTGTAAGCCAATAGAAATTTGATTCGAAAAATGAAATCAAAACTTAAGATTACCTAAGATTTTTATTCAAGAATTCACATCACTTAGTAAACCAGTGAAAATCGGGAAGCACGAAACAGCCAATTTGTCCTCATATGGTGGTATTTAGTGTGTTAATTCGCAACAGCTCAAGATTTTCTGGGAAATTATATTAACAGACAGTCCGTGGATTAAAATTCAATGTAAAGATGCGAATCTGGAAGCTGACAACTGACTAGACAAATAATAGATTTCTCTTACATAGAGCAGTGAGGAATTCGCAGTTTTTAAAAATGTCGAAATTTGTCCAGCTCCTTTAAGACTGTGAAAATTAACCCGAAAATTATCTCCGGAAAATATAAACCAAATCAAAATACGTTCATATTTTTCTTGATTCGATACTTCACTGATATAAATTGGTTAGGGTTGTTTCGTAGTCTAAGGTTATTAAGGTAAGCGAATAACAAAGAGAAGGATCTTATGCACATATCATTTTGTCTCAGTAATACTCGTCTTCCTCATTTTCACTTACTTGATTCAGTAATGACGTTTTTCTTTGCTTTTTTTTACTTCTCTTCTCTCCTAACCAGATGAAAGTAGCATGTCACCAATGAAGGAATATACCAGAAAACAAAATCATTTGTTAACTTCTGATAAACCATCAGACTGTCACCTATGTAGTCAACATCGACAGCTACAGCAACAACAAGATAAAGAAGAGCACACTCCCTCTTCGCTATTGTGTTCATTAGAAGCAGACAAGGATTTATCAGACATTGATGAGTGTTCATTTACAAGGAATACAACTCATCACAAAAGTAAATTGGAATTATTTTGTGATTTATCTTCAATTCGTGGTGTACAGAGAATCTATCGTTCAAAAATTCCATTTATTCGGCTTTTGTGGCTTTTATTTGTCATTAGTATGACATGTGTTCTAATGGTTAGCTCTGGTTTCCTTATCTCTGATTATCTACGTTATTCAACAGCATGGAATGCACGTACCTTGTTAGATGATAAATCAGAGTTTCCTGCTGTCACTTTATGTGCACATAATCCATTCACTTTAGATGTAAATCGTCTTTGGAAAGAGAAAATTGTTCCAAGTCCAAAAGAGATTAAATTGCGTGTAAGGGATTTATTGAAAACTATGCAACACTACGGTTTGGCTAACAATACTGGTGATTTGGCTTTTTCTGATACAATAGAATTTTATTATGCAAATCTTAATTCAGATGACACCATTAAAGTTGGTCATGATAAGGATATGCTTTATCATTGTATGTTGTATGAAGAAGGTACGACGGTTGTAGCAGAAAAGTGTGAATTAGAACCGGAAACATCGATAAGAATACGACGTTTTACGCATCCTAAATATTTCAATTGTTGGACTATAGAGGGTAAACCAAATGCATCAACTGCTGATATTACACTGTGGTGAGAGCGGTCTACTAGCCAAGTGGTGGACAGTAATTGAGGTCAATGTTTATGTATCAAATATTAGTCATGTTGTGGTGAGAGATGGTTGCTGGCCAAATTGGTTGACAGTAATTGAGGTCAAAGGTCAAGGTGAACAGGCGGTTACAGTTAACATATAGATGAACTGACACAGCCACAAGAGATGCAAGGTTAACTTTGTGTGAGAAACAACCAATCAACAGACTGTATTTTCTACTAACATTGACCTACAATAATGTACATAAAAATCTATAAATACGTGTTGATTTTTCGTAATAAACGATCTGTTGCCTGGCCCTTGTCTTCTGTTGTTACATTTGGTGTCGCTGCCTACCGACAAATGGAAAGCCTATGCCCTGCAGTTTTTGATGGAGACATATGGATCTTCGCGCAGGACTTCGAGGCTTCTTCGCAGTTGAGTAGCGTTCAAGATCTGCCAGCGATGAGGCTGCTACTTGGGACGCTGCTGGGAGGTCGGGAGAAAGCAGCATATGGAAGTGTGAGGCGAAATACCTACGAATGTGCGACAGGGTCAGGCAAACAGTTTCCAAAGTGGGAAGGACCATATATGGTCACGTTGAGATGGGGTTACGCAGACACAATCGCAATGGTAAACACCGTTAAACAAGTGGACATCCGCGAGCGCCGAGATTCCAGACAGCAAGACAACAGAGCGAAGCCCCAAGAACCGAGAAGACCGAGCCGACTTCAGTCCAAACTATTTGACGGGGGGACGAGTGTGGTGAGAGCGGTCTACTAGCCAAGTGGTGGACAGTAATTGAGGTCAATGTTTATGTATCAAATATTAGTCATGTTGTGGTGAGAGATGGTTGCTGGCCAAATTGGTTGACAGTAATTGAGGTCAAAGGTCAAGGTGAACAGGCGGTTACAGTTAACATATAGATGAACTGACACAGCCACAAGAGATGCAAGGTTAACTTTGTGTGAGAAACAACCAATCAACAGACTGTATTTTCTACTAACATTGACCTACAATAATGTACATAAAAATCTATAAATACGTGTTGATTTTTCGTAATAAACGATCTGTTGCCTGGCCCTTGTCTTCTGTTGTTACAACACGACTAATTATATTGGCACGGCTAGTTCCTTTGAAAAAGATTGAAGATGCTAATACATCTTTCATTACGGATTCGTTTACACGAGGTGAAGGCATTAAGGTAGTTATTCATGAAAGAGACACCTATCCAGAAATTGAAAAACACGGTGTAAATATACAACCAGGTCGTATGAATGAGGTTAACTATGCAACATTATTTTGGAAACGTTTGCATACACCAGTAGCTCCGTGTGCAGGTGGAAATCTTTACATAGAAGACTTGGGTGTACAATACACATATACACAAACTCAGTGTCTCAATCTTGTATTGCAGAATGAACTGTTTAAGAGATGTGGTTGCCTCAATTCAGAGTGGCCTCGGTCTATCAAACTAATGGACAGTAATCATTTTATGCCATACTGTCAGAAGTTGCCAACTGATGTCAATGACAAACGTGGAGCTGAAGAAATGAAAGCACGTCTTGAATGCTTGAGCACTGTTCTTGTTGAATTGAAACAAATTAAAGAGAGAGCTATACAGAAAGGTGTGTGTTTACCACTTTGCGGCTATTATACTTACAATACAAAATTAAGTGTCACTTCATGGGATCCAGATCCGCACAAACTTGCATTATATACTAAAGTCTATCGTCATGTCGACAAGTTTTTAACTGACCCCAGTGAAAGAGGGCATTTCGATGAATTATTGAAAGTCTTTGATGAATCAGTGGATCCTACACAAACTGGTGAACAATCCAGTTCAACAGGAACAGCGTTTTCTGATATTTATCAAAAATTCGATGATGGTAAACATACATACATCTCTTTAATTAGACAGGATTTTGATACAACCATGAATGAAGAACGTTTGGTTTTCGATATCTACATATTAATATCAAGGATAGGCGGTTTATGCTCTTTGTGCATTGGATTAACAATGGCGTTCATTGTTGAATTAGTTGAATTTTTCTACTTACTTTGTTGTAAGAATAATACACACTTCACAGAGTCAAATGAAATCAGGAAGCTAACTCACTCAACCAAATGTATGACTGTAAATTGTCCGCATGGACAGAAAGAGGTCGAGGACAGTCAACATGATCACCACCACCAACAACAACAACAACCTAGTCATGAACATGAACAACAACAAAAACAACCAGAAGTATCCTGGTATTCAGACAACTCAAATGATAAACGTTCTTATCCTCCTGATCAAATACATGCTGGTCATCTTAATAATAGTACAAGAAATAATAACAGCTTTTCTACTTCGCCGACAAACAGAAAACGTTTTTCAACCGTAAATACAGAGAGTGATTGTCAAACATGTTTTCAACCTCTGACTTCAGCTATTATGCAAAATTCTACCTGAAAACTAAATCATCATAGTGTATGATTCTACCGAAATGTAACGAATCTATGGGATGGTAAGACTTCTCTTTTTTTCAGGCAACTTGAATTCAGTTAACTTACAGATTTCACATTAATTGTATTTATCCACCTCTTTCTTTTTGTATGTTACACGTCCATTCCTTAGAGTAAAAACATTATTGTCTTTGAACATACATCGGTGAAGCTATTCAGCATTTCTTTTTGATCCTATATGTTTGTGTGCATGTGTATGTGTGTGCTTTCTAAAGTGGTTTTCACATTTTCATATACACACACAATTATAACACAACTTGGAGACATTTTTGAAACGCTGGTTCCCTACTCATTTTTTTGAACTATTCACTGTTTAGTTAACATTTCTTGACTATAGGTGAATTCATTCGAATGTAAGAAAGTGTAGATTCCACATTATTTTTTAAGTGTTCATTTTTTTTGCTTTATTTTTATTTTCCGACAAAATTACAAAAGAAATTTTGAAGACGATACACTCGAATGTCTGTTATGTTTTAATTGCTATTTATGTTTAACTATTCGTGTAATATTTACTTGAATTTCTACATATTTCAGCTAAGTTTATGCGGTGTATATTAATTTCAAGAATGAAAAGTAACAGATATTGTCACAGTTGCTTTTTTCATAAAAAAGGATGATTACGATGTTAGAATTTAGTATTACTGTGGTGAAAGTTGAAATCGTATATCTTAAATTCCATAAAAGCATGTTTATTGGGAACATAAAGCGTTTGTCCAACTAGGTTTGTCGAATGCAAAATGAAAACTTTCCACTGCATTATTTGTCAGGAAAAGGGTAAAATATTACGTATAAATTTCCAGCTACCAGTGACCTTAGAATTTTATAAATAAAACCGAGGTATTACTGCGTACAGTTATCTTAGCAGCATTATTCCAGCTACAGGTATGCCAGACCTTCATTAATCTGAAATCAGTTTGGAAGTCTGTTGCACTCGGCATGAAAAAACAAACAAAATTCACATTTTCAACACTAAAGTCAAGTCTTTCGTCAACAGCTGCCTTCTCTAGCTTAATATTGAAGACCATATGGCCAGCCAGAAATGATTAGCAACAAGGAATTCTGGAAATGAACCAACCAAGAACCTATCGCCCGACAAATATGGCTAAGGAAGTGAAGACGGATTGGATGCACACTGAAGAGATCAGGCCTTCGAGTGGAACCTGAAAGAGAAACGAAAGGTTAGGCGTGTGTGCAAGGATGACATGGATAAGACCATGTAGGGACGAAATCAGAACCTATGGTCAATCACGCAACCACATAAAGAGGACTGCAAAAAGCATGATGAAGTTGAAATATACTGTTTAAGCCCTGTGTTTCATTCGTAACCCGAGGGAATAATGTCATTAATAATAAGTAGCTCAGGATGAAGTTAAGAATTGTTTGATATTTGATCGTGTGAAGACTTATAACTCAGGAATTTCCTTCACCAGGCCTGGTGACATCTTCACCCCTGACTTCATTAAGAACACAAAATACCAAAGCTCAGAGGAAATAATAAGACACTTTCTGTCTACACTTAATTATTCCATCAGTGGTTAAATTCAGAAAACGTTCTCTTAACTAAACATCCAGTAATACCAAGCAGAAACGTATAATGTTTGAGTCACACTGACCAGCTAACTACTCATGTTTCATGCAGCATATGATACAATCATCCGATTTTATGAGAAACAAGACTGTCTAACTAATAAGAATACTCAAGTATTGGTTTGTAGGGATTCGATTGATTGGTTACAAAATTTTATCATGAGCTGACATCGATTAGAGAACTACTGGAAAACCTGAAAGTACTAGAAAGCTGTTTCTCCCTAGTTTGGGACTCTTCACAGTACGCACTAAGCGGGGTTAGAAGACACTGGCTAGAGGTCACGCTATGTCAGGAATTGGCAGAAGTTAGAATTCATGGACTGGCCATCGGATCGGGTCCCAGTGGCTCGCTAGCCTTGTAACCAGAAGGTCCTGGGTTCAAACTCGGTGGGTGGGTGCGTACAGTGAAGAGTCCCAAAGCGGGACAAAACAGCTGTCCAGTATTCCCAGGCTTTCTAATGGTACTCTAACCGATGTCAGCTCATGATGAAATCCTGTAACCTAATAAGAATACATTTTTCAACTTAGAATTCATCAAGACTGCCTTAAACGTAATACTATTATTTTCATCAGTATCATAATGATAGTGATGTCATTAGGTTTCTCGTAGATATGTAATATGGCAATAGATTTCCTCTGATCAGAGTTTTTATCAACTATCATATTCAGAACAAAATATTTAGAGCGAACAATTGTTTTCAATAAATTCTTCTTCAGGCTCTACAATTATAAATCCATTAATTTAAGCATACAATAGCCAGTAAAGGCAAATTAGAATCATATCAGAAAGTGTATTGTGGAACAAGTATAAGATGGGATGGAACAGTAGTCAGTTAGTTTTTTTAATATGCATGGTCAATGAGAACATGGGACAAAATGAGATGAAGTAATTTAATTTAATGATGTGTGTATATATATATAAATATAGTCAACAGAAAATACAGGTTTCGAGAGTGTGTGTAATCAGGGTGTGTGAGACAATATGAAAATAAACCAACGAATGGGGCGGACTAGACATAAGTTCAAGGTTGAAAATAACGACAATAAGAATGATTGTCAAATAATAATAATGAATATAATGAAGTGGAATAAACAGGATTTTGTAAATACGATAGCAAGTTAGAAAAGCACTATTTAAACCTAAGGTAATAAAATCATAAGAAAGGTCATGAAATCATAAAAGTCGAAAATTAACGTTTGTCAATGAAACAGGAATAACAGAAGAAGGAAAGAAAAGAAAATTGTGAAAGGAATTTATAGTGTTAATGGAGCATTTGTTGGCTTTATTGTAGGCCAAGGTAAACATAGAGGCTGAACATACTTCTTCTGTATGCAAAGAGATGATCTTCTGGTATTAATTGCAACTGCTTCAGCTACTGAAAGAAGACGTAGTCGAGCTCCTCTAGATAAATTACTAGGAACGCGGCAAATAACTGAGAACACCTGGTCAAGTTTTATCGGGTGTCCCGTATCTACCAAGTGAGCTAAGACTGCACTATTTACGCATTTGGTTACTCTTCTTGCTCAACCATACAGGTACATGTTCACGCGCGCGCACGGATAAAGCCCTTTGAGTACGGCCAATGTAACTAGCTCCACATGAGCACTTGAATTCATTGGTGCACATTGATGAGGCCATCTGTTGTAATTTATCCTTGACTTGCTGTGTGAGTACTGGTTTAGTTGAGAAATTGAGTACTAGTTTAGCTGCAGGAAATGTTCTATCTACTGCTCTATTAAGTCGACATTTCAGAATGTCAGCTGCGAATTCCCCTTTGTAACTTAACTTAAGATACAAAGGTTTCTTGTCTACGGTATCCACCTTTACCTTGTCTGTAGGTATTGACATATACTTTTTTAGGAAGCTCTGTGGATATCCATTTTCTTGCAGTGTGAGTTTCAGTTTATGCATTTCTTCCTTAATGCATTCCTCTGAGCATATTCGTTTTATTCTATAGCTAAGACACTTAACTAAGTTTCTTTTGTACTGAATCGGTGTAGAGCTATGGAAATGGGTGTACTGACCTGTCCAAGTTTTCTTTCTAAATAATTTCCTTTGTAGATATCCGTCTGTTTTTATGGTAAGGAGGACGTCTAGGAAAGGTAAACTGTTATTGTCTTCTTCTTCACGTGTAAACTGAATAGTTGGTTAAACACTATTAAGAACACAATATTCAGCGAAGAGACTCTTTTCAACGAATTTATTATCAAGCTGTACAATCGTATATATATGGTTTTTAAGAAATTATATCCGGTGAGGGAATTAGGTCAAAGGTGTGAATACATGAAATAATAATAGTATGAAATGCAATTAAAATATTTGTGATTATAATCATAGTTTAATGTCAAGTGGCACAATAATTAATGTCGTATATAGAATAATACATAAGGTGTATAGATTTTGGAAAAGGGTACATAATTATAAGATTAGTAGACGAATATAAAATGTTACATAACATGGTATGAAATTTGATAAGACAGAATTCAATATTGTAAAAAAATATAAAAATATAAAAATTAATAATTTTAGGTTTAAAATGTCAAGTGGGTCAAGTGAAAAAGATTCAGAGTGAGAATAGTAATAATAATAATGATAATAATAGTAATAAGGGAAGAGTACATAGAATAACTAAATAAACAAAATAAAATAAATGAATGTCTATCCCTCTACGGCCAAGGCAGAAGTAGGGATTGTACATACTTCTTTTGTACACAAAGGTCTGGCTTAAAGTCATGAATTGCCAAGGCCTCAGCTGTCTTTAGAAGTCTGTAACGAATAAAACGCGGGAAGTTAGCATGGATTCTATATATGATCTTAAAATCATGGTCAGGGTTAACAGAGTGACAGAAGTCGATCAGGTGTTCCAAAATAGAGCTTCTCACACACTTCCTTTCTCCCTTATAAAACCAAGCTGGAATATGTTCTCGTATCCGTGTGGAAAGCGTCCTCTGACTACGGCCAATGTACCTAGCTCCACAAGAGCAGGTGAACTGATAGATGCACATGGAGGCGGCCAGACGGGGTAGCTTATCTTTTATAGAGGTAGAGAACAACTTGCGGCTAGTGAATGTCATATGTAATTTTGCTGCATAGAACGTCTTACTGACTGATCTGGAGAGACGATTTTTGAGCATATCTGAATCTTGATCACCTTTGAATTCCAAGTTCATGAATAAGGTTTTCTTTGGAACTGTGTCGGTAACCAGTTTAGACTGCTTTTCTTTCATGTTGCTGTCAATAAATCGGTCAGGGTAACCGTTTTCTGCCAGCGTGGCTTTAAGGAAATCAAGTTCCGAGTCAACGGAATCAGAACTACAAATTTTCCTTATCCTATAGCAAAGCGAATGAATTAAGTTCCT